ATAAGAGAAAGGATAAAAACCATATGATCATTTCAGTATATGCAGAAAAAGCATCTGAAGAAGTACAAAATCCATTCATGGTAAAAAACAAAAAACAAAACCCTCTGCAAAGTAGGTCTAGAAAGGAACAAATCTCAAAATAATAAAGGCCTTATATGAAAACCTACAGCCAACACAATACTCAATGGTGAAAAACATAGAGCTTTCCCCCTAAGGTCAGGAACAAGACAAGGATGTCCACTCTCACCACTTTTATTCAACAGAATACTGGAAGTCCTAGCCAAAGCAATTAGATGACATAAAGAAATAAAAGGCATCCAGATTGCTAAGGAAGAAGTAAAACTCACTATGTGCAGATGACATATTATTATATATAGAAAACTCTAGAGACTCCACCCAAAAACTACTAGAACTGATAAATGAATTCAGTAAAGTTGCAGGACCCAAAATCTTCTGTTGCATTCCTATATGCTAAGAATGAAGCAGTAGAAAGTGAAACTAAGAAAACAATCCCATTTACAATTGTACCCAAAACAATAAATTATCTAGGAATAAACTTAACCAAAGAGGTGAAAAGACCTCTACTTTGAAAACTATAAAACACTGATGAAATTAGATGATACAAAGGAATGGAAAAACATTGCCATGCTCATAGATTGGAAGAACAAATATTGTTAAAATGTCTGTTCTACCCAAAGCAATTGACACATTTATGTAACCCCTATTGAAATACCAACAGCAGTTTTCACAGAACTATAACAAACAATCCTAAAATTTGTATGGAACCACGAAGACCTCAAATAGCCAAAGCAATCTTAAAAAAGAAAAATAAAACTGGAGGTATCACAATTCCAGACTTCAAGTTATATTACAAAGTGGTAGTAATTAAAACAGTATGGTACTGGCATAAAAATAGACACAGATCAATGGAATAGAACAGAAAACAATTATACAGTCAAGTAATTTTCAACAAAGGAGGAATGAATATGCAATGGGAAAAAGTCTTTTCAACAAATGGTGTTGGGAAAACTGGACAGCCACATGCAAAAGAATGAAACTGGACCACTTTCTTACACCATTCACAAAAACAAACTAAAAATGGATTAAAGACCTAAATGTGGGACCTGAAACCATAAAAATCCTTGAAGGAAGCACAGGCAGTAATCTCTCTGACATTGGCTGTAGCAACATTTTTCTAAATATGTCTCCTGAGGCAAGGGAAATAAAAGCAAAAATAAACTATTGGGACTACATCAAAAAAGTTTCTGCACAGTGAAAGAAACAACAAAACTAAAAGGAAACCTATTGAATGGGAGAAGATATTTGCAAATGGCATACCTGGTAAAGGGTTAGTAAACAAGGTATATAGAGAACTGATACAACTCAACACCCCAAAACCAAATAATCCAATTAAAAATGGGCAAAAGACTTGAACAGACATTTCTCCAAAGAAGACATACAGATGGCTAACAGACATGAAAAGATGCTCGATATCACTTATCATCAAGGAAATGCAAATCAAAACTACAATGAGATATCACTTTATACCAGTTAGAATGGCTAAAATCAAAACACAAGAAACAATAAATGTTGACAAAGATGTGGAGTAAAAAGAACCCTCTTGCAGTGTTGATGGGAATGCAAATTGGTGTAGCCATTGTAGAAAACAGTATGGAGGTTCCTCAAAAAATTTAAAATAGAACTACCCTATGATCCAGGAATTGCACTACTGGGTATTTACTGGGTATTTACCCCAGAAATACAAAAGCACTAATTCAAGGGATATATGTGCCCGTATGTTTATTGCAGCATTATTTACAATAGCTAAATCGTGGAAGCAGCCCAAGTGTCCATTGGTGGTTGAATGGATAAAGTTGTGGTGTGTACACACATACACACACACACACAACACACAGGAATATTAGCCATAAAAAAGAATGGGGCACCTGGGTGGCTCAGTTGGTTAAGCGATTGCCTTCGGCTCAGGTCATGATCCTGTAGTCCCAGGATCGAGTCCCGCATCGGGCTCCCTGCTCCGCAGGGAGTCTGCTTCTCCCTCTGACCCTCCCCCCTCTCATGTGCTCTCTCTCTCTCATTCTCTCTCTCAAATAAATAAATAAATAAAATCTTTAAAAAAAAAAAGAATGAAATCGTGCCATTTGCAACAACACAGATAGAACTAGGGAGTATTATGCTGAGCAAAGTAAGTCAGAGAAACACAAATACCATATTATCTCACTCATATGTGGAATTTTAAGAAACAAAACAAAAGAACAAAGGAAAAAAAGAGAAAACCAAGAAGCAGATTCTTAACTATAGAGAGCAAACTGATGGTTACCAGAGGAGGGGTGGGTGGATGGATGAGGGATATAGGCATTGGAGATTAAAAAAAGAAGAGTTCTAATCATCTGGGCTAACTATATAGAAGAAAGCTTTTTATAATCTGATGTTTCTTTTCTAAAAACAGCTTTATTAATACATTGTACACCTCCAGTTCACTTGTTTAATGTGTGAAAGTGAATGGGGTTTAATACATTTACAGAGTTATGTAACCATTTTTAACCACAATTTTAGAACATTTTCATTACCCCTTAACCCTTTCTTCCCACTCCTTTTCCTAGGCACTCACTAAATCTGTTTTCTGTTTCTATGGATTTGCCTGTGTCTTTTCAGTGGGATCATGCAATATGTGGTGGTTTATTACTGGCTTCTTTCACTCAGCATGTTTTTTGAGATTCATCTATCTTGTAACATACCATTACTCCATTCTGTTTTATTGGTAAATCATATTTTATTGTATAGATAGCCCACATTTTGTTTAACCATTAGGTGATGGACATTTGGGTTGTTTCTATTTTTTGGTTATTATGAAAAATGTTTCTTTAAACATCTATATTTACGTTTTGTGTAGCTGTTTTTGTTTCTCTTGGGCAGATACCTAGTAGTGGAATTGCTAGGTTATAGGGTAATTCTATTTTTAACATTTTGAAGAACTGCCATACAGTCTTCCAAAACTTGCATCATTTTACATTCCTGCCAGCAGGGTATAAAGGTTCTAATTTCTCCACATCCTCCCAGCACTTGTTATTGTCTCTTTTTGATTATAACCATTCTGGTGGATGTAAATTGCTTATCTCATAAATCCAGTGTTTCTTAAGCAGACCCATGTAGGGGCTATAGATATTTTGTGGAAGATCTAAGCGTTCTTTCTAAGAATTTACTTTTTTTGTTTGTTTGTTTTAAAGATTTTATTTATTTATTTATTTTGACAGAGAGAGACACAGCGAGAGAGGGAACACAAGGAGGGGGAGTGGGAGAAGGAGAACAGGCTTCCCGCGGAGCAGGGAGTCTGTTGCGGGCTTGATCCCAGGACCCTGGGATCATGACCCGAGCTGAAGGCAGACACTTAACGACTGAGCCACCCAAGCGCCCCTCTAAGAATTTACTTTTTAAAAAAATTTGTCATGTTGATGGTAACTGAAAAAAAAAAAAAAAGTAATAGAACTATACTATGGATCATCTGGATCACCTGCCCACCTTATAACCAAGGACTGCCACACTCTTTCGGTGTCCACATTTACTTTGTGTTTAAAAGGCCATTGGCACCAAAAAATAAAACTTGAATTTTAACATGTTAATGGGAATAGAGCAAGACATAATTATACAGGGGTGCCTGGGTGGCTCAGTCATTAAGCGTCTGCCTTCGGCTCAGGTCATGATCCCAGGGTCCTGGGATCGAGCCCTGCATCGGGCTCCCTGCTTAGCGGGAAGCCTGCTTCTCCCTCTCCCGTTCCCCCTGCTTGTGTTCTTGCTCTCGCGATCTCTCTCTGTCAAATAAATAAATAAAATCTTAAAAAAAAAAAAGACATAATTATACAAATCATATTATATTTTCTTCCAGGAAGCAGCCAAATTATATTTGGTTTCTGCTCAAGTAATGTTATAATAAGGAATGGACATTTTGCAGTATTTAAATAGAGAAATGTTTAAATTACTGAGTCATCAAAGTATTATGATAAATGTAAAAGAATGTTATCCAACTTAGTCAACCTGACTGCAGTTTGATTGTTCTTTTAGCTGTGATTTGATTCATGAAAAGACTGTCACATTAAATTGTGATAAAATTATTTTTCTTTAGTTTTTTTTGTGTTTATATGTAAGTGTACTTTGGTTTCATAATTATGAAACTCTGGTTGTATGTTTATATGTACTTAGCAACATTGTAATAGAAAAACAAACATTTGAGAATCATGATCCTTATTTCTTTCTTTTAAAAGGGTCCACATATTTTTTTTTAAGATTTTATTTATTTGAGAGAGAGAGACAGAGAGACAGAGATAGTGAGAGAGAGCACAAGCCAGAAGGAGAGGGGGAAGCAGGCTCCCCATTGATCATGACCTGAGCTGAAGGCAGACTCTTAACCAACTGAGCCTCCCAGGCACCCCAGGGGTCCACATATTATTTGAGTTTGGTAATCACTGTTGTTGATATCTTTAGGTTTAAATGCTTGGCTCTTTGTTTTTTAAAAGATTTTATTTATTTATTTATTTATTTATTTATTTATTTATTTATTTATTTATTTATTTATTTATTTATTTATGAGTGTGAGTGCACGCATGTGCAGAGGAAGGGCAGAGGGAGAGAGAGAGGGACAAGTGGACTCCTTGCTGAGCAGAGCCCTAGGTAGGACTGGATCTCAGGACTCTGAGATCACGACCTGAGCGGAAACCAAGAGTTAGGTGCTTAACGGACTGAGCCACCCAGCTGCTCCTTGGCTCTTTGTTTTTAGAGGCAGGTGGGTAGCTCTAGAATCTGTGTCCTGTGGGATTTGAAGTTTGTGTTTTTATTTGTTCAAAGTGTAATTTAAATAATTTTGTCAATGATTTGTTTTAAAAGCCATCCTACAATAAAGGCGGTATTAAAGAAAAATTATTCCTTTGTAAGTGTACTTACGTATTTTTCACAACTTTTCTTTTCACTGATAACTTTTAACTTCACAGGTAATCAGTATGCATTTCCAAAGCTTTTGGCTATGTTTGGGTCTTCTGTTCATCTCAATTAATGCAGAATTTATGGATGATGGTGTTGAGATGGAAGATTTTGATGAAAATTCAGAGATTGATGTTAATGAAGGTGAACTCTCCTCAGAGGTAAGGTTATTGAGAAATGAGTTGTAAGTTATTCCTTTACAGGATACAGAGGAGAGTGACCTCTTAAGATTCATTTCAGTTCTAACAGTATTCATTTTCTAAACAAATAGAAAAACACTGTTTTTTCCCCAACTATTAGAGTGCCCATGTATTACAGAAATTTATACATTGCACCTAGTACAGTTTTATTACAAAGTAAATATGGGGAAGGTTTTTACTATCAGAATAGGAATTTGTCACTGCTGAAGAAGGACTAATGGACTTCTATCTAAGAGAAAGGTTTTCATTCTTCCCACACTGCCAGCCCTCTTCAGATAGGAGATAAGGTAGTATAATTTGCAGTTCTCCTAGAAGTAAAGTAAGTTCTTATTTCCCTGAGGAAAGGAAATGCTAACTAGGAGCATGAATAAGAAAGGGAAGTGATCATGAGGTAGGCATTTAATAAGGCTCACCCGTGTTTGTGGCTCGGCATTGTTAAGACGCGGTTTGAGGTGGTGACTCACAGGAGTCTGAAAAACCTTGCAGAGATTTTTGTACATCCTGACAATCCAGAAGAACCTTTACATTGAGGAATAGCCATAGATAATATTGAGACAATCAGAAAATTTGTCAGAAGTCTTGTTGATGGTAAGAATGGATGAGTTGTATTATGCTATAGCAGCTAATTCAAGGGCTGAGCACCATAGCCTATCGCTGGTACAGACTTCTTCACCTCACTTACCTTGAGAGTTTTTCATTTGCAAATGAAAGTGTTGTTTGGCTGTTTAAGGTGAATATTCTTTCTCTTGTTAAAGTTTAAACTCTACAAGGACATTTCTTTTAAAACCTAGTTATGCACTCTACAGAAGGTAAGTAATCAAAGCGCTGATGATTGACTTAGGTACAGCTCCTACAAGGGTCTTTGGAGGTTAATACTTCAAAGGAATTGGGAGATACCAACCACTTCAGCTGCATTTGGTGATATTTGAAAAAATGATAGGAAGTGGAATCTTGACCCATCAGCAATTATGTGGAATTGTGTTTGATTATTGGTTTCCACCCCCCTTAAATGGACAGGAAATGTACTATCAGGTTGGGGTGGAGACAGTGAATAGAAAAAGTACTTCTGCATCCTTTTCTCTAAAGGCTGAGAAAAGAAATCATACGGATAAAATCACAGATTGATTCAGAAAGGACCCAAATTGATCTATTACTTTAGGCAAAATTTATTCATTCATCATCAGTTCAAATTCTCTTTTGATAATTTGTCAATAAATTAATCTCTTAACTGTTTTGTTCGTATGTTCTATAGATAGAGCACAGCAGTTAAGTGTATAAGCTTTGAAGCCAGGCAGCCTGAGTTCCTATCATTACATGTTACAGTGGATGTAAGATGGGTGCAATAATAGTATTTTGCTGGGCGCCTGGGTGGCTCAGTTGGTTAAGCGACTGCCTTCGGCTCAGGTCATGATCCTGGAGTCCCGGGATCGAGCCCCGCATCAGGCTCCCTGCTCGGCGGGAAGCCTGCTTCTCCCTCTCCCCCTCCCCCCTCTCATGCTCTCTCTCTCATTCTCTCTCTCAAATAAATAAATAAAATCTTTAAAAAAAAATAGTGTTTTGCTCATACAAGTCTTATGAGGATTCAAAGAACCACGTATCACCACCACCAATGTCATTATCATCATCACCACAGCTAATGTGTACAGGGCCTTTGAAACTGTACTTTGCTTTGTAGTGCTTTCTCTGTTCAATCTTTTTCTTCTCTGGGTTCCTAGTCTCTCAAAATGGGATCCTCATCCTCTACCATATAATAGTGAAATTTAAGAGTTAATTTTAAACTCATCTACATGCTTGCTAAGTGTTTTATCTTATATGTGTTGGATCATGGTATTTCCTCTGTTTCTAATGATTTGTATTCCCAAATATTGTCACCTGTTAGGATCCTTTCAAGGCCATGTCAGCTGTATCATGAGGACTTCTCTAATAGAATTTTTCCCCATCCCTCCTGTTTTAGAAGGAATCAGTGTATTCTCTGTTTGCACTTAGACGGTATTTTTTTTCTGGCATTGTATCTCTGATACTGTCTTGTATCTTACTGTACTAGGATGCGATGTTTTGAGGCCATGTCACCTTTTATTTATTTTACTTATATGTGCATTACTACATACTGGGTTCTTAACCAGTGAGATTATTTAATTAAAATATTTGCAAAGATGAATAACTTTAGATTTTAAAAAATCTATTTTCTAGATTAAATATAAGACACCTCAACCTATAGGAGAAGTATATTTTACAGAAACTTTTGATAGTGGAAGGTTGGCTGGGTGAGTATTCATTCAAGAGAATGTTTTCTTTGATTTAATTAGCTTTTTTGAAGTTATTGGTTATTGGCCTGTGAAAATTGCCTCTACTACAAAACTGTAAAAATTGTTACTTTATTTGTCAGTGTAAACCCGTACCTTAATGCATTTTTATTATTGATAGAAATGTTTAACTTGAAGAGTTATTCGTTTATACAAAGAAAATAATACAAATGAATTATGAATATAAAGTAAAAATTTATGACATTTCTTCATTCCTAAAGACAGATATTATTAATCTGATTTCAGATGACAAATTCAAATTACTGTTCCATCCTAAATATTGGTTAAAAAAATAAATGTTACTATTTATTAATTATTATATAGCAGACACTGTCCCAAGTAGGTAGGTAAGTACTATCTTTATCTCCATTTTATAGGTGAGGAAACTGAGGCTTAGTATATCTCACATATGATCAAGCAACTAGTAAATTGTGGATTCCAAATAGGATTTAACTCTAACCTTGCAAGATTCTATATGGGCATCTTTATTTAGCTTCTAAGCATTTATTTTTTAATAAGAAGTGACTTTTGGGTAATCTTTTGTTGTATTTCTAATATTCATTGTGTCTATAAATTGCTGGTTTTAGTTTTAATGATACGTATTTGCTTTTATCTTTATTTACAGGTGGGTCTTATCAAAAGCAAAGAAAGATGATACAGATGCGGAGATTTCCATATATGATGGTAAAATATTTATTTAAATATTCAGTAAAACCAGAATGACCCTGAGTTCACAAGCTTTTGAAATTATATTTCTATTAAATATAATATATGGGGTCTGGGCCGCCATCATGCTTCACAACAGAATGTTCAGTCTTTTGTCTATTTTTGTCTATTTCCGGAAGTCCCTGGGTGATCCGTGCTTAAGCCACCATCGGGTTTCCTAACTCGGAAGGGTTGAATCTTCATTCCCCTGCAGTTAGTCGCGGCCTGTCCAGCAGCAGTGTTTCCCTGGCTCCTGCTGTTCTCTGTCGTCGCATCTCAAGCACGGGCATACCTCCGTCAAGTTGTAACTGCGGGCAAGATCCTCCTCGCCAGTGCAGAACGGGGGGTAATCTACGAGAGCTAGGAGATATGTGGCTACTCTTGGAACCCACATCTCCGGGCCTTACATCCCCTGTCTGGGTCTCTGCTAGGATACTGTCCAGGCTTTGCCATAGAAAGAAATGTCCTATATGCAAGGGTCATCTTCCCTAACGGGACTTTTTTGGAGTATGATGAAAGAATTTCTTCTTCCTTCTAATCTAAAACCAGCCTCCTCCTTGGTTGTATCCTAAAGCAAGATCAGCCTCTTCTCAAGGTGACTGATCGTGGGAATTCCCTCTCTCAGAGGACCTCATACCCATAAGAATGTGACCTCACATGCAGACTCCAACAGGCCGTTACATGACAACAATGACAAGAACAGTACATGAGATAATAGCTGGTGTAGGATGTCAGCTGTCTATTCCTTTTCCTAGTTTATTTTAGTGTGAGATGGAGATCGTACCTGCATGTCTTCCTTTGCAGTGTTCTCCATCCCAGCAACTCCTCTGGATTTGTATGTGCTTATATTCTCCATAAAGAACTTTACCACATGCTCAGACCAAGCAATATTTCATTCGTTCTCTAAATCCATTTAGGGAAAAGGATAATTTCACCCAAAGAAGCAGGACGTCTGCAGAGATGTAACACAACCTAAAATACACCCACGGAAATACACATTATTAAACAGAATGCATGGCTTAAAACATCTATGTTTAGGGGCATCTGGCTGACTCAGAAGAGTATGTGACTTTTGACCTTAGGGTTGTACCATTTAAGCCCCACGTTGGGTGTAGAGATTATTTAAAAATAAAAATTAAAAAACTATGTTTACACTACTTTAGTTTTTTCAAAAACTTCAGGTAGATATTTGTTTCACATCTGTAATTTTAGAAAAATCCACTGATGGAGTTTCCTAAAATGAAGTTATTGTTTATCTTACAAGTGAGTTTCAATCCCTATTTCTTGCGGGACAGAAGTGGCTTTTAATGTTTATTTTTATTTTTATTTTTTTAAAGATTTTATTTATTCGACAGAGAGAGACACAACGAGAGAGGGAACACAAGCAAGGGGGAGTGGGAGAGGGAGAAGCAGGCTTCCCACTGAGTAGGGAGCCTGAAGCAGGGCTCGGTCCTGGGATTATGACCTGAGCTGAAGGCAGATGGCTTAATGATTGAGCCACCGAGGCACCCCGACTTTTAATGTTTAAATGAGTTTTTACTTGAGTTCAAAGTTAAAAATCAAACAAGCAAAAAGCCAAACTTCTTAGCACTCACGTTTGGTCTATAGTCTCATTAAACTTAAATATCCATGAAAATAATTTTCTCATATATTAGATTTAATATAGTTTCTGAATGGCTTTTATCAACATCTCAAAAGCAACTTCGAAAAATATGGAATCTTAAAGTGCTAGATCCTGAAAATGGTATTTTGGATATTGCTAGTAGCAGCGTTGTTTGCAAAGTGGTTAGTTGAGATTAATATTAGATTCTTTTGCAGGAATATTTATTATTCACAGTAGTTAATGGCAGCTTCTGTCAAGTACCACTTGAATAAAGCTCATTCGGAGCTTGTCAGGAGAAAGCAAACCTAAGAAAGGTGCTGGGGTATAGAGTTTGCATTTGGAATACACTTACATTTTTCAGATTAAGTATAAATATTGAATAAATACTAATTATTTAAATAACCAACTTTCAGGATGTAAAACCCTTTTTAAAATTTTATTTACCCTAAAATTGGGGCACCTGGGTGGCTCAGTTGGTTAATCATCTGAGTCTTGGTTTCCGCTCAGGTGGTGCTCTCAGGGTCATGAGATGGCTCTGCGCTCAGCATGGAGTCCTCTTGGGATTCTCTGCCCCTCCCTCTGCTACTTCCCCCAGAGTGTGCTCTCTCTCTCTCTCTGTTTCTCTCTAAAATAAATAAAATCTTAAAAGAAAATTTTTTTGTTTACACCAGAATTTATATTCACCGATATTGTCTAAAATTTGGCTAAATGATCAGTTAATAGAAAGTTGTTGTTTATTTGGAACTGAGAAAAACCTCTTGTCATTGAGCAATAATTTCCCTGGCACAAGTTTTCTAAAATTAAAGTGCTAGATGGTACCTTTTTCAAATCCCACATTGGGCTCCCTGGCTTGTGTTCTCTCTTGTCATCTCTCTCTCAAATAAATAAATAAAATCTTTTTTTTTTTTTTTTGGAAAGAAAAATTTTTTTATTTATTTGACAGAGAGATACGTAGCGAGAGAGGGAACACAGCAGGGGAGTGGGAGAGGGAGAAATAGCCTTCCCGCTGAGCAAGAAGCCTGATGCGGGGCTCGATCCCAGGACCCTGGGATCATGACCTGAGCTGAAGGCAGACGCTTAGCAACTGAGCCACCCAGGCACCCCTAAATAAATAAAATCTTTAAAAAAAATAAAAATGCATTTTATGAAGCCCAATAAATTCTGCACAATGAGAGACCAAAAAATACTTCTTTGTGGCTCATGACTGTTCAGGTTCTTACACTTAGTTTTTCTGTTTTTTTTTTTTTTTTTTGTAGGAAGGAAAAAAATAAAAAGCATTAGTGATTCATAAGTGCCTGTTAATAAATATTAATATAAGTTGTATTAAATATAAATTAAATTATTAATATAAGTTGGTATGATACTGGAAAACAGTTTTTGCTAATTTGAGTTTCATTGGAATAGGCAATATCTATAATTCTCAAAACTAGAACATTTTATACAAATTAATATGATTTGGTTATTCTCTATTCTAAAAAGAAGAAAGAAAAAGTCCAAAACAACTTTTGGGCTACAGGCAGCCCATCTGTAGGCCATAATCTAATTTCAGGAGCTTTCTGATCTTAAACATGGAAAATCCCAGCCCAGAGAGGAGCTAACTCAACTTTGCCATATTACAGCTTAGTGCTTATCCAGTGCTTGCTACTTTCTTGGTCAAAAGTTCTGAGGGCTAATTGGCCTAGCTTGAGAAGGGTGACCTTAATTTATGTTCATTAGGCATACAGGTTTCAAAATAAAATTTAAATCCCCATAATAAATTTTTAAAATTTATTTTAAATTATTTTTTAAGTTTTATTTATTTAAGTAATTTCTACACCCAATGTGGGCCTCAAACTTACGGCCCCAAGATCAGGAGTCACATGCTCTTCCAAATGAGCCAGCCAGGTGCCTCTAAATCCCCATAGTAACTTTTGCAAAGTAAGGAAAGTAGCTGATGAATACCATATATTTAAAAATAAATCAACTGATGCAAACTATTTATTTTGTGTTAAGGATGCTCTTTATCTCATGTAATTTTAAAATAACTCATTTTAAAAATACAATGGTGATACATCCATGCAACAAACCACATCCTGTAATTTCATTGATTGAAGAGTCAGAGAAGTACAATCCAATTATAGCTAAGAAAATGAAACCATTCTCAGGAGAAAAAAAGAGCAGACATGCATACAGTTGCAGATACTATTTCTTATTTTAAAATTTTGTTTTATTTCTCCCAATCAACCTTTTTTAAAAATTTAAATTCAATTAATTAACATATAATGTATTATTTGTTTCAGGGGTACAGGTCTATGATTCATCAGTCTTATATAATACCCAGTGCTTATTACAGCACATACCCTCCCCAGTGTCCATCACCCAGTTACCCCATCCCTCAACCCCCTCCCCTCCAGCAACCCTCAGTTTGTTTCCTATGATTAAGAGTTTCTTACGGTTTGTCTCCCTCTCTGGTTTTGTCTTGTTTTATTTTTTCCTCTCTTCACCTATGATCCTTTGCCTTGTTTCTTCAATTCTACATATGAGTGAGATCATATGATAATTATCTTTCTCTGATTGACTTATTTCGCTTAGGATAATACCCTCTAGTTCCATCCACGTCATTGCAAATGGCAAGATTTCATTTTTGACGGCTGAGTAGTATTCCATTGTGTGTGTGTGTGTGTGTATACATCTTTATCCATTTACTTGTTGATGGACATCTGGGCTCTTTCCATAGTTTGGCTATTGTGGACATTGCTGCTACAAACATTGGGGTGCAGGTGCCCCTTCAGATCACTACATTTGTATCTTTGGGGTAAATACCCAGTGCAATTGCTGGGTCATAGGGTAGCTCTATTTTCAACTTTTTGAGGAATCTCCATACTGTTTTCCAGAGTGGCTGCACCAGCTTGCATTCCCACCAACAGTGTAGGAGGGTTCCCCTTTCTCTGCATCCTTGCCAACATCTATTATTTCCTGACTTGTTAATTTTAGCTATTCTGACTAGGGTGAGGTGGTATCTCATTGTGGTTTTGATTTGTATTTCCCAGATGTTAAGTAGTGTTGAGCATTTCTTCATGTGTCTGTTGGCCATTTGGACGTCTTCTTTGGAGAAATGTCTGTTCATGCCTTCTGCCCATTTCTTGATTGGATGGTTTGTTCTTGGGTGTTGAGTTTGACAAGTTCTTTATAGATTTTGGATACTAGCCCTTTATCTGATATGTCATTTGCAAATATCTTCTCCCATTCTGTTGGTTGTCTTTTGGTTTTGTTGACTGTTTCCTTTGCTGTGCAAAAGCTTTTTATCTTGATGAAGTCCCAATAGTTCATTTTTGTCCTTGCTTCCCTTGCCTTTGGAGACATGTCTAGCAAGAAGTTGCTGCGGCCAAGGTCACACAGGTTGCTGTCTGTGTTCTCCTCTAGGATTTTGATGGATTACTTTCTCACATTTAAGTCTTTCATCCATTTTGAGTCTATTTTTGTGTGTGGTGTAAGGAAATGGTCCAGTTTCATTCTTCTGCATGTGGCTGTCCAATTTTCCCAACACCATTTGTTGAAGAGACTGTCTTTTTTCCCATTGGATATTCTTTCCTGCTTTGTCGAAGATTAGTTGACCGTAGAGTTGAGGGTCCATTTCTGGGCTCTCTATTCTGTTCCATTGATCTATGTGCCTGTTTTTGTGCCAGTACCAGACTGTCTTGATGATGACAGCTTTGTAATAGAGCTGGAAGTCCGGAATTATGATGCCACCAGCTTTGCTTTTCTTTTTCAACATTCCTCTGGCTATGCGGGGTCTTTTCTGGTTCCATACAAATTTTAGGATTATTTGTCCCAGCTGTGTGAAAAAAGTTGATGGTATTTTGATTGGGATTGCATTGAATGTATAGATTGCTCTAGGTAGCATAGACATTTTAACAATATTTGTTCTTCCAATCCATGAGCATGGAATGTTTCCGCATTTCTTTGTGTCTTCCTCAGTTTCTTTCATGCGTGGTCCCTAGTTTTCTGAGTACAGATCCTTTGTGTCTTTGGTTAGCTTTATTCCTAGGTATCTTATGGTTTTGGGTGCAATTATAAATGGGATCTACTCCTTACTTTTTTTTCTTCTGTTTCATTGTTGGTGTATAGAAATGAAACTCATTTCTGTGCATTGATTTAAAATTTTGTTTTATTTTTCCCAAATCAGCCTTCAAGAAAAAATCTTATTGGTCACTGCTAGTAAATAATTTGTAAGTCAGTGTTTTGAGTTTTAGTTTAATTGCTTTGCTTTACATTTTAGGAAGATGGGAAATAGAAGAATTGAAAGAAAACCGAGTGCCCGGTGACAGAGGCCTGGTACTGAAATCTCGAGCAAAGCATCATGCAATAGCTGCTGTATTAGCAAAACCCTTCATTTTTGCTGATAAACCCTTGATCGTTCAGTAAGTTTTATTATGTTTTACAGTACTTTTTCTGAAATTTGTATTAGTTTTGTATAATTTGGCTTCCGAATATAGTTATAATGGGTATAAAATGGGCATAAAAATCCAGATTTCCTTTTCAGTTTCACTTACTTAAATACACAGTGCATGTATATACACAGACTCTCTGAGGTTTTGAGGGAAAGCCAGGTCGATTTAAAAATTATATAATATATACTATAATATAAAAAATTCTGCCACCATAGACTATATAATACATACTGAGATCACCCTTTTTATTTTAACTCTTTTCTTAAAATTACTTGCTCTGAGGATATTAATTTGAGTATATTCAGAATAGAACCATAAATGTTGCTGTTAAACCAGTTATAAGATTCAAAGGAAACAAATTTATTTTAAAAATTATATGCAGGGGCGCCTGGGTGGCTCAGTCGTTAAGCGTCTGCCTTCGGCTCAGGTCATGATCCCAGGGTCCTGGGATCGAGCCCTGCATCGGGCTCCCTGCTCGGTGGGAAGCCTGCCTCTCCCACTCCCCCTGCTTGTGTTCCCTCTCTCGCTGTGTCTCTCTCTGTCAAATAAATAAATAAAATCTTTAAAAAAAAAAAGTATATGCATATATAGATCAGTGTCTTTCCACCTTTTATTTTTTTAATGTTTTAAAATTAAAATTTAATTTAACATATAGTATATTATTAGTTTCAGAGGTAATTTAGTGATTCAGCAGTTGCATATAACCCCCAGTGCTCATTCCATCGAAGGGCACATGTTTTCACAGACAATCCTTTCCTCCCCTCCCCGACAATGTGACATAAACTGGTTTTATTATGATGTTGCTTACATGTATACCGTCATAAAATCAGGTATAAATTCTTCAATATTCACCTACATAAAATGGATATAAGACAAAATAGATCTATACAAATACAATTACAAAGCTGATAAAATTCAAATTAAAAACAAAAGGAAATGCATAAATGTTATTTTCTCCCTTATGTGAGAAGATTTGGCTGTCCAAAGTTAATGACAACACAAGAAATATTATTAACTGTAAAGTATATCACTCTAGAACCCTTTCAGTTTTTTTGTTAACATTGTTAAGCATGTTCCTACATAGTATAACTAAAATGTCATTTTGTGTTTTAGCAGTTTTAAAAAATATGGCATTTGGTGTAATTGGCTTAATTTTTTGCTTGTGTCGCTTTGGCTTAGTTGCACTGTCATGTGAATAAATTTAAAATCTTAAATAATGTCAAATAGTATATGATTATTATTTTAACAAATTAAAAATGTTTTTACAAGTACTTATTGGAACGAATATTTAAGCTTGATATTATTTGTCATTATTCAGGGTTTGGCCTTTCTTTTTTCTTGAAAGTTTGAAAGTAATCCTATTATTCTGTTGAAACTTATTTGAATATAATATCACTTTCTATTTTGATCCTTTGTGGCTTAAATGAAAGGGAAAGAAAAATAATAGAAAGTGTAATATTTTCAGAGTAAAATGAATCAAATTTAGTATTTTCAGAAAGTATAAATCACTGCTAGGCAAGTAAGCAAAAGATAGAAACAAAGATTGGATAATAAGTCTAGAAGAATTATTAAAGTAATTGTGAAATTATGTCCTGAAAAAAGAAGAGGAGGGCCAACAGGAATTGAATAGAAGTCTTTGCTATGCTTAAAAACAACTCAAAGAAGGAGAGTGAATGTCTGCTCTTAATATTGATAAAATGAAATGGGATATTAAATAAAGAAATTTTATATTAACTACTATAAATACTATGGACTCATAATATAACTTTCCTCTAAAACTGCTTTTCCCACATGGTGTACATGTTAATATGCATTGTGTGGTCATATAAGCTTTAGAAATGAAGAATATCCCAGACATGAGGAAGCATATTTGCTTGACCATTAAAGACTTGGAGAAAGAAGTTCTACATGCAGAAACCTGTTTCTAACTTCAGTAGTGTGTTTTCCAGACATATTTGACCACAGAATTTCATCCCCCAACAAGAATTACTGCTTCGTAGGACAGTGTGGGGAATGATAGTCTTGCAGAAGATAGGGTTGCCACATACTCTTACACGTCCTCCTTTTTCCTGTGACCAAGGAATAGCAGCAGTTGAGCTATATGACACACATTTCACTGATCTCTAATCCACTGTGAATTATTTGCATTAGGTACAATTAATGATTTGAAAACTCTGGAAGTTTGCAATGTAAGAAATAGACATAATGATTGGGTCTAGGCATATTACAACCACAAAGCTATGTTCATATTTATAGAGATAGTTTACAACATTTTTTTTTCAGTTCTTACCTTTTCACAGAACCCTTGTCTTGAGATCACCTATAATAAAACTATCTTTTTATTTTATTTTACCTGAAATAATTAATATTTACCTTTAATTCACACTGTGTACCATTTCTTACTTTATAGTCTGTAAAAACATGTTCCATGAGAAAAAATTTCTTTGTCGGCTACTGCTTAAAATAAAAATAGTGACAAGGCTTTGAGGAAAACAAACTGTCCTTTATTTCAAAAATGAAAAAGAACAAACCCTTTCGTTTGATCCTACAGAAGCTAACATTTTGGGCATCTGTCCATTGCTGTGCATGGTATTATTTAAGCATCACAATCCTTTGTGGTCCTCGAGCTTGAATAATTTGCCTTTACACTAGGTGTCACTAGAGTAAGTGGCAGAATCAAGGATAAATCTCAGGTCTCTCTGGCTCCAAAGTACATGCTGGTAAGACTTCTTGAGAAACAAAGCAGAGTAGAAAGTAGTGGGAAAGATCACCAAAATCTGGCAACTCAGATAGTCATTTAAGATTTTACTGTATTTCCTTTGTTCTTTTCAGTGCAAAATATATATACACTAACTAGGTTCAAACTATCAAACAGTTTTGTATGCTATTTTTTCGTTGTTTTTACTTTTGTATCACTAAAGTTTTTTTTGTTTTTTTTTTTAGAAACATTTTAAACTGCAGTCCTTTCTTAAAATTATCACTGGTTCCTGTTGCTTCTCTAGTTTTCATCTCTTTTTCTTTTAATTCATCAAACCGAATCACAGCCATTTTGGTTTTTACTGTTTTTCACTCTGAGGGCGATTTCATTGATTATTTCACATGTAATTCAATAATTTACCAAAAATTTCTCCTGAATATTGCTCAGTATGTCTATATCAATTGCCTAAACAAGACTATTTCCTTTAAAAAACAAAACAAGAAAAACTTTTGCTGAAAATTACACAGTGTTGCAAATCTATGAAAAGGCTCTCACATCAGTTCAGTCTTTCAGTTGTTTTTCTGTATTTCTTGGCTGTTAAGGTCTGAAATACTTCAGGTTATTGACTGAGATTATGAAATCTCTTTGCTGGAGGTATTTAATTAAATGTACAAGTTATCTAATATGGTTAGGTGTAGTTGAATTAAAATACAAATTAGTGAACCGGATATATCTAAGATCTATCAGCAATTTCTTAGACATCTGTTGCTGTGGCTATGGTCCTCATAATCTTCATTTTTTAGTTTATAAAGAAATATGCATAGTGTATACGTTACCTGAATTTGAAATTTCCTATTATAGTATTAAAGTATCTTACCCTTAATTCAGCAGTTTTGATGGAAAAAATTATTTCAACAAGTTGGTTGGCTTTTCTATAGTTGATTATAATCATTCTCTTTTTAATATTTTAAGGATGTGCATAGAAAAAGCATTTCTGCTTATTCCCTATATGTTGTGGATATGCTTTTTAAGAGCTTTCTGGTAATGTAAAACATTTGTGTTTAAATGAATTGAGAGTAATACATTCGATTTTGAAGAGCAATTAGTAATTTTTTATTTATCAGCAGTATGATTCTTTTTCCCTTCATTTAGATATGAAGTAAATTTTCAAGATGGTATTGATTGTGGAGGTGCATACATTAAACTCCTAGCAGACACTGATGGTTTGAATCTGGTATGATATTTTAATGTTTAAGAAAACCTTATTAAAGTTAATACTTTTAAGGAGTAGGTGAGAAAACTGTAATTTTTATTTTCAGCTGAAATCGAAAAGAACCTTAAAAATCTTAACCAGCATGAGTTTGTATAGCTTTCCGGGTGTGCCTTCAAGTTTCATACCCAGTTGTGTTACTTGATGGCATCGGTTTTGTAATCTTTAGCAACATAATAAAGTTTGCCATGTCTGTAAGTAAAAAATAACATGGTGCTTATCAATGTCATTGAAAGATCGGCTTTGAGTTATTTTCTTTACAAATTAAGAAGCATAAATTTGTTTGGAGAAGTAAAATAACAGAGCAAAGCAGTAAAATGAAATGGCCAAAGAACCAAATAAAAAAGGTGGGTCAGTTCAGGAGTTGGTAGTCTACAAAAAATAACGGGTTAAAATGTTTTGAGAAGGAAGCAAGTGTATTAGGTTGGAGACATTTCTTGTAGCATTCTCCTGCCGGGGGCTGTGTCAGGGCTTCTGCATATAACAGACATAAGATAAATGAGACATCAGTGAGATATTTGTCAGAATGCATGGCTATGCATAGGCTGTGAAACATGGGTTAAAGGATTCATGTTACTATTATTAGAATTAGTTAAAGGGGAGCCCATTTGTAGTATAGGTTGGAGCTCTTGTTTTGGGTATCATCGTAAGATGACCATCACTCAGAAGTATAATGATACAATAAAGTTAAATGCTAGGTATTTTTCTCAGCACTTTATCTGATTAACTCAGTTAATCCTCAGAGAACCCTTATAAGGTAGGTACTATTATTATTTCCATATTTGAAAGGTAATGAAACATTCAGGAGTACATCAAGGCTAAGAAGTTTACTCAGGGCCACATACAGCTGGTTAAGGGCAGTGGTAGGATTTGAACCCCGGGATCTGACAACAGACCCATGCTTTTAGCTAACAGGCCATGCCAAATAAAGAGAAATTACTAGTAGTAAAACAGGGAGCATGTCTCTGTGTCTGTGTTTGTGTCTGAATCTCTCTTTACTCTGTGCTCAGGAAGGTTATTCTCTGGTGTCTTCTTGAATAATAGTAATGGTAATCATTGTAGTCTTGAAGTCGTAAGTATGCTTTTCTCTGTGCTTAATTTTCTTAACAAAATATTAATAGTTCAGATTTACATAAAGTAATTAAAGCTTATCATGATGTTGGTAGGGTGGTTTCAGCTTCTCTCCTACATCTTCAGGAAGGACGTAGTATGTGCATTTTTTAAAAATCTATTTTTGAAAGAAAAATTGTCTTTTTTCTACATCTTTTATTGTCACTTGTGTCAAATAATTCTTTGGTGATTTAGCATTTAATACATTTTTATAACCTCTACGCAATTGGATAGAATAGAAAAATTCATCAAATACTCTAATTCTGGACTAATCCCAACACATCTCTCTTTGAAGGAAAACTTTTATGATAAAACATCCTATACCATTATGTTTGGACCAGATAAATGTGGAGAAGATTATAAACTTCATTTTATCTTCAGACATAAGCATCCTAAAACTGGAGTTTTTGAAGAGAAACATGCCAAACCTCCAGATGTAGACCTTAAAAAGTTCTTTACAGACAGGAAGACTCATCTTTATACCCTTGGTATATCCTTTTAATTGATTCATAAATTCAAAAATATTCACTGACTACTCATATTTTCATGGCAGGTGCTTTGGGAGAAACAAACATGGATCCTACCCTTAAGGAACTTACCTTTTCAGGATAATTATAATGCATATAGTGCAGGTAGAGAGTAAAGTGCCATATGAGGGGTGCAGATGAGGTAAGAGTTCAAAAGCAGTATTACTTCCAGTGTGGAGACTGAGAGAAAACTTAGTGAAGAAGATTATATATTAATTAGTCTTGAAGTGTGGCTGGAACATGGAAAATAGGAGAAGGATATTTGAGGTGCTGTGACGTTAGTGGTGCTGGAAGAACAAGAAACTGGAAAAGAAGATAAAAGAGTAAGAAGTCCTTGATGCACAGCTCAGAAGCTTGGGCCTTACAGACTGTTGTGATTATTGTTAGATCCTACCTCATGGGAGTTGTGGCATGTATTTAAACTTCGGAAGAGAAAGTATTGAACAACCACTTTATTAACATATTTAGCTTTACTTTAGTAAATAGGAGTTTCCATAGACAATGAGTGGGAGAAACATTACAAGGGATTGTTTCTCCTCTCCCCAAGCGTGTAAGGTTCTGGAGCTTTGCTGTGTCCATGATTATTTAAAATCGTAGCCTGTCAGAACCTGACAGGACAACTCTATCCAGGACTAAGATATTTCAGTTTCCTTTCCAAAGACTGCAGTTGCTGAAACATTCATGTCTGCCAAGGCAGTGACCAATTTTATTTTTAATGTCAGCATTGACAGTAAAGAGCTTTTTTTGAAACTGGAAAATAGAACTGGATGTTTGGGGGAACATAAACTGTAGAGATAATGAGAAATTATAACTAGAACAGGACAAATGAATTTCATTAGTCTTTGTACAAACTTGGTGAAAAGCAACTTGGTGTGATATATCAAAGACCCTAAGTTTATGTGTTTTGAAACCACAATTCCATTTTCAAGAATTTATTCAAAGAAAATAACCCAGAAGAAATAAAATGAGCTATGTGTGAAAATATACTGTAAATTTAAAGCCACCCGAATGTTAGAGTAGGAATTTTATATACAATACAAAAATGATAACCATGGAAGTGTTTAGCAACAGGGGAGAATGTTTATAATATTAAAATGTCAAAAGAAAATGAGATTCAAAGTGGAGGAGCATCCTCATGGTGGCCATTAGACAAATTATGCAAATAGATTAGAAAAAGAAAACTAATTTTCATTAGTCGCCTAATGCATGCCGTGCTCTGTGCTAGGTACTTTGTTTAGAACCATCATGTGAGGTGAGCAGGTTCTCTCAACTTTACCTTAACTTAGGTTAAGTAACTTGCTCTAGGAAAAAAAAGGAACTGGTAGGACTAGAATTGAAATTCAAGTCCAACTTACAAACATTTGCTTTCTTACTACTACACACAAAAACTTTGTTGTACTAGGATTATTGAATGACTTTTTAAAAAATTTTCTGTACCACTGTTATATTTTTATAACATCATTTTGTAGTTGTTCTAAGAACCTCACAGAGTATCTTAAAAGGCTTTATAATCCAATGCTTTTTACTGTAAATTCATTTAAAATATTTAGTATAGTTTTAGACAAAGATGTCTTTTCACATATGAGTATTTGTCACATGCTTTTTTTGTTTTAACTGTAATTTTAAAAAATTTCAGTTGCTAAATTTATTCAGCACATTCTTTTCAAGATTTTTCTTGAGAAATGCCTTTTTTGAATCAGGAAGAATCTAGTACTTTTTTTTTTACATTTAAGATCTTACTCTGCTTAAATCTTGACTTTTTCCTTTGTGTAGTAGTATAGTTTTATAATCTCAGCTGTAATAGAAGAGGAAATATTGAAGGAAAAGAGAAGAGAGAAAACATTGAGTGTTTGTGTTATTTGATTTGTATATAAATTGTAGTATTTGATTTTGATGTAAGTAACTTGGTATTGTTGTGACTGAAACCTCTGGAGATTGTTCTTGCTTCAGAACTGTTTCTTCAGAAAGTGGTAGACCGCTTACTAAGTTGGGATGATCCTTACATTCGTTGACAGCTCCTACTTTGTAGCTTACTGAAAGCAAATGTTAGGCAGCTATTTTCATTTACCATTCTTTCCAAAGATATAAAGTTTACCCACTTTACCCACTACCCCCAAGTTTACAGAAGGAGGAGAGAACTTTTGTTTTGTCATTACAATGGAAAAGGGGGTTCAATATGACACTTGACTTGGGAACTTTTAGAGAGCTAGAAGTCACCTCCAAACAGACAAGTGTAAGCTTGAATATTTCCGATCAACCTTAAGATATTTTACACAGCAGTGTATGAATCATTGAATTTGAAATGCCAATGAACTTTAAAATTTTCTAGGAAATGGTAGTCATGTATCAATGTGAATTTCCTGATTTTGGTGACTAGATTGGGGTTATGTAAGGGAATGTCCTTGTTTGTAGGAAATAGACATTAAAACATACAGGGATGATGTGTGTGAAGTCAGTAACTTACTCTCAAGTGGTTCATGAAAAAAGTCCTTTATTGTGCATTTGCAACTTTTGAAGTTTGAGATAGTTTCAAAAAAGTATTTTGAAATACTGAAGAAGATTGGATTGCATTCTGTAATTATAAAAAAGTGAAGCTGACTGGTTGTGAGAGTCCAAAACTGAGTTAGCTACTGGATATTCTTTATTTCAGAAGTAATGGAGCTTTTCATTAAATTATGATTACTTAAGACAAAATTTTATATTTGGTTTTAGAAAACATTATACCTAGTGATCTTAGCATATTTTGATTTAATACATTATAATTCCTCGATTTCTGGTTGAGAAAAAAATTTACCCGTGAAATTTAGGGTAGTTTTCTTATTTAGAAGATTATCTTTTAAAATGTCAGTCATTATGATAAGTGTAATATATTTAAATTGGTCTTTAGTGATGAATCCAGATGACACATTTGAAGTATTAATTGATCAAATAGTTGTAAACCAAGGAAGCCTATTAGAAGATGTGGTTCCTCCTATTAATCCTCCCAAAGAAATTGAAGATCCCAGTGATAAAAAGCCTGATGAATGGGATGAAAGAGCAAAAATCCCAGATCCTTCTGCTGTCAAACCCGAAGACTGGTAAGTGAAGAATTCAGTAGCAAAATATTAGTTGGTGTAATTCAGTAATGAGATATTCCATATAAGCGAAGTTTACAACCAGTAAAGCATAGTCTTTTAAACATTAAAATTACTTATTTTGACTATTTTGGGTGAAATACTTACCCAAAATAGATTTTATAGGGGCACCTGGGTGGCTCAGTTGGTTAAGCTTCCGAATCTAGATTCTGGCTTGGGTTGTGATCTCAGGCTTGTGAGATTGAGCCCCACGTCCAGCTCTGCTCTGGGTATGGAGTCTGCTTAAGATTCTGTCTCTACCTCTCTCTTTACCCCCCCCCAAAAACAAACAAAATAGATTTTGTATATCCTTGCCTTTTAATTATCTTAATTTTCATTTTAATTAATATTTTAATTTTCTTGCCTTTTTCAATATTTTTTTTTAAAGATTTTATTTATTTATTTGAGAGAGAGAGAATGAGAGACAGAGAGCATGAGAGGGAGGAGGGTCAGAGGGAGAAGCAGACTCCCTGCCGAGCAGGGACCCCGATGCGGGACTCGATCCTGGGACTCCAGGATCATGACCTGAGCCGAAGGCCGTCGCTTAACCAACTGAGCCACCCAGGCGCCCTCAATATTTTTTTTATGTCTGGTGCTCTGTGTGTGTGTGTTGTGGGGGGAATTCCATGAATCTAAAACACCAAAACTTGAATTTTAATTCCTAGTTTGATCTTTATCATGTATGTGTGTGCATATTTTATATATTTAGTCTTTTCTAAATATAGCCATATGTTCAACATCTTATAAAATGATATAGGATTCACTCATATTAGATTGCTTAGCTGAGTATTTGTGTTGTTTTCATTCTATAGGATTATGAGTGTTTTCCTTAAAAGAAATGTATTCAGTTCCCGAGTTCCCATAGCTTTGAGTTCAGATGAGAGATACCTGTTAGCTCGTCCTAACTCACCTGGTTCCTAGGTGAGCAGGAAACAGAGTGGCTAGCTGACTGGTTCTGGCTCAGGCTCTCTCCTGTGGTTGGAGTCGGGCATTCATCTGAAGGTTTGACCCTGGCTATAAAGTGAGCATCTGCTTCACTTTATAACTGGCTTATGTGGCTGTTGTCAGGAAGTTTCAGTGCCTTGCCACTTGGGCCTGTCCTTATGTGCGGTCATGGCATGGTGGATGGCTCCACCAGAGGGAGTGACCACAGCGGGGGAGAGAGCACACCCACAGAAATTGTAACACCTTTTGTAGCCTAATCTCAGAAGTGACCGGTCAGCACTTCAGCTGTATTCTGTCACATAGTCTAACCTTGTCTGGTACATTTGGGAGGGGTACTACACGAAGGCATAAATACTAAGTATAATTTTGTTTTTTATTTCTTTATTTTTTAGAGGGCTGGGGAGGGGCAGAGGGAGAGGGAGAGAGAGAATCTTAAGCAGGCTCCACACCCAGCATGGATCTCACAACCCTGAGATCATGACCTGAGCCAAAATCCAGAGTTGGATGTTTAACCAACTGAGCCACCCAGGTGCCCCACTAAGTATGATTTTTTAAAGTTCTGTTCTTAGTTTACTAAGAGTTTTGTTTTTTTCCAAGATTGGGTGCTGGATTTTGTAAAGTACTTTTGTGCATCTGTTGATGACCATGTGGGTTTTGTCTCTTATTTTTTTAGTATGGTGTATTATATTGATTGATTTTCAATATTAGACTAACCTTGCAGTCCACCTGGTCAGCAAATATTGTCCTTTTTATATTTGCTGGATTTTCATTGCATGTTTTCTGTCAGATTTATCAAAGTGTAATTTTCATAAAGGTGAATTCATTTATTTTAGATATACAGTTCTGTGGTATTGACAGACAGACATACACAATGATATAACTATTACCACAATCATTATATGGAATATTTCTGTCATCCCAAAAAGGTTCCTCATATCCTTTATAATCACTTCCTCCCACCCTTACGCCCTGCAACCACTGATTTGATATCTGTCTTTTAGAGCTTTGCCTTTTCCAGAATATCATATAAAATGGAATCATATGGTATACAGCTTTTGTTTCTGGTTTCTTTCACTTAAATAATACTTTTTGAAATTCATCCATATTTTTGTTTATATAAGTGGTTAGTTTTATTTTAGGGATTTATAGGGATTCATCATAATTTGTTTATCTAGTCACACATTGATGGAGATTCTGGTTGTTTCCAGTTTGGGGCAATTATGAATAAAGTGTTTATAAACACTTGTGGACAGGGCTTTGTGTGAACATAATTTTTCCTTTTTCTTGGGTAAATACCTAGGAGTGGGATTGCCAGATTATATAGTCAGTATATGTTTAAATTTCTAAGAAACTGTCAAACTTTTCCAAAGGGCTATACCATTTTGCATTCACACTAATATTAAGTAAGAGTTATAGATCTTATACATTTATGGCATTTGGTATTATCTTTTTATTGAGATGTAATTGACATATAACATTGTATTGGTTTAGGTGTACAACATAATGACTTGATGTGTGTGTTAATTGCAAAATGATTAGCACATTAAGTATAATTGACATCCATTACCACACAGTTACAAATTTGTGTGTGTGTGCATGTGTGTGATGGGAACTTTTAAGGCCTACTCTCTTAGCAGCTTTCAAATATACAATACAGTATTATTAACTGTAGTCACCATGCTCTACATCACATCCCCAGAACTTATTTATTTTATAACTAGAGTTTGTACCTTTTGATCTTTTTTTTTTAAGATTTTATTTATTTATTTGACAGAGAGAGAACAAGCAGGGGGAGTGGCAGGCAGAGGGAGAGGGAGAAGCAGGTTTCCTGCTGAGCAAGGAGGCCGATGTGGGGCTCGATCCCAGGACCCTGGGATCATGACCTGAGCCAAAGGCTGACCTGCCCAGTGACTGAGTCCCTTTTTGATCTCTTGATACTGTTTTTTTGTTTTTGTTTTTCTTTGGGTATTCTAAAAGGTTTGTAGTGATCTCTAATGTCATTTTGATTTGCATTTCCCTGATAACTAATTATGTCGAGCAACTTTTCACTCACTTCCCATTCATATCATTTCTTTGATCAAGTATTTTTTCAACTTTTTTGTTTTAATTGGGTTATTTTTTATGTTGAGTTATGGAAGCTCTTTATATTCTGGATACAGATATTATATTAGTTATCTATTGCTGTGTAACAAATTATCCCAAAACCTAGCAGCTTAAAACATTATCTCACAGTTTCTGTGATTCAGGAATCTGAGAACAGATTAGCTGGGTCTTCTGGCTCTGGGTTTCTCACAGGCTGCAATTAAGATGTCAGCTGAGACTGTAGTCATCTAAAGGCTCAACCGGGAGTGGATCCACTTTCAATCCCACTGAAGTGGGTTTTGGCAGGGTTCCGTTTCTCAGAGGACTGAATTGTCATTGTTGGACCAAGAGCCTCAATTCCTTGCTGGATGTTGGCCAGAGTCCTCTCTTGGTTCCTTGCAATCTACTCTCCATAGAGTAGCTCACAATATAGTAGCTCTCTTCAAGGAAGTGAAAGTGAGGGAAGAGAGAGTGCAGAGAAGATGGACGTCACAGTCCTTACTGCATTAACAGTGTCCTCCACAAATCCATATCTACCCAGAACCTATGATTATGACTTTATTTGGAATTAGGGTCTTTACAGATGTAATCAAATTAAGATGAGGTCATAACTGAATTAGGATCCAATGTGAGTGGTGTTCTTAGAAGAAGAGAGAAATTTGGACAGATACACACAGGGAGAACACCATGTGACAACTCAGGCAGAAATTGAAGTGATGCATCTATAAGCCAGGGGATGCCGAGTATTGGCAGCACCACTAGAAGCTAAGAAGCAAACTGCCCCTAGAACCTTCAGAGAGAACACAGCCCTTTCAAAACTTTGACTTCTAGTCTCCAGAGTTCTGTCATTTTAAGGCTGTAGTTTGTGGTACTTTGTTACAGCACCTCAGGAAATTAATATATGGTCTTTTATAACTTAATCTTGGAAGTAACATCCCATCAGTACTTTCTGTTCATTAGTAGTAAGTTCTTAGGTCCGACCCACACTCAAGGAGAGGGGAGCACCCATGGGTATGAGTACCAGGAGGCAGGAGTCACGGGAAACTATTTCAGAAGCTGCCTGCCTCAATCCGAGATGACTGCAGTCCTGGCCCGTTCTTTGATTCCAACCTGTCAGAGACCCTGAGCAGAGCACCCAGTAAGGGATGCAGATTCAGAAACTACAGTAGTAAACATTATTTTAAGCTCCTAAATTTTGGGGTTATGCAGCAATAGTCAATTAATACAGATATGCATCATGCAGATATTTCCTCTCACTCTGAGGATTGTCCTAATTTTCTTTTTTTTTTAATATTTTATTTATTTATTTGACAGACAGCGAGACAGGGAATATAAGCCGGGGGGGTGGAAGAGGGAGAAGCAGGTTCCCCCTGAGCAGGGAGCCCGATGTGGGGCTCGATCCCAGGACCCTGGGATCATGACCCGAGCTGAAGGCAGACGCTTAACGACTGAGCCACCCAGGCGCCCCTGTCCTGATTTTCTTAACAGAGAACAGAGTTTTAAATTTTTATGGAGTTCAGTTTGTCAGTATTTGTCTTTGATGATTCATGATTTTAGTGTCTTACCTAAGAAATCTTTGCCCAAATGAATGTCACAAATATTTGCGCTTTTTTCTAGACAAATAATTTTGACTAAAACTCTGTTCTAAGTTAATTGTATGTAGTGTGAGATCTAAAACAAGATCATTTTTTAAAAATATGGATGTCTAATTGTTTCAACACCTCTTGTCATCATTAATGTCTGTAATGATGTGTACTGATGACTCATTTCTAATATGGTAATTTGTGTTTTTTCTTGATGTGTCTAACTAGAGGTTTATCAATTTAAAAAAATTTTTTTAAAGATTTTATTTATTTATTTGAGAGAGAGGGAGAGCCAGCAAGAGAGCACAAGCAGGAGGAGCAGTAGAGGGAGAGGGAGAAGCAGGCTCCCCGCAG